TTGCCAAGTGGTTGATAATTGTTGAAACTGAGTATGGGTACATTGGGGTCACTGCACATTTTTTCTACTTTTGTGTGTTCTAAAATTATCATTAAAAATGTTTAAAAGAAAATTAATGTAATCAAAATTTTACTTATTGTCCTTTATTTGAGAACACATGATAAATTCCCCATTTAATTTCACAAGGTTGTGTAAAAAATATATATGCTTTTCCTTTTAGAAAATCAAACTATATGATATGAATTTTCTACTTTGCCTTCACAGAATGAGGCTTAACAGGCAAAACAGACATTGATATGAGAGTGAACAGTAGTAACAAATTAGGAAAAATTGCATGGCCCCTAGTTTGGGTCCTATTTCAATAAGAAATGCAGTAAGGCTGAGAAGAGGGGGAGGGTGTTGGTCTCAAGATAGGGACTTGGGGCTGAAGGAATTTTTTTATTGCATGGCCCCTAGTTTGGGTCCTATTTCAATAAGAAATGCAGTAAGGCTGAGAAGAGGGAGAGGGTGTTGGTCTCAAGATAGGGACTTGGGGCTGAAGGAATTTTTTAAAAAATAGACTTTATTTGAGCATGTGTAAATTTAGAAGACAAGGGCTGCTCAGAATTCCTTTTAAGTCACTTCAAGGGTTTCCTGCTCTATGGGGTCTGGTCTTGAGAATTACTATATTCCTTTGGTGGTGTCTTATTTTCTTAGTTTTTTGTATTTCTAGTATCTCTACACTGATGTCTGGTTATTGGTAGAGTAGTTGCTTCTTCTATTACTCTGGAGTGGGCTTTGAGGAGAGGCATTTCCTCTTTCTGGTCTCCGCTGGTGACTCTTCTTCTGTCAGTGCAGTTGAGTGGGTGGCAGCCCATCTGCGTGGTGGCTATGGACGCTATTGTGGTGACAGTGGCTGTGATGGACCACCCATGCAGACATGATGTTTCTAGAGTGCTTCTACCTTCTGCTGGGCAGTGGGGGCTCTCTGTGGCTCCTTGAAGTACTCTTTTATTTAGTGGCAGAAAAGCAATTTCAGACTGTTAAAAAGTAGAGGGGCCAGGAGCACCTGAGCTGTGCACAGCCATGCCAATGGCACTGGGCCTGCCCCCAAAGGTTTACCTTCCAGGAAGCAAAGAGGTGAGGCAAGGTGAGACTGATATCTCCGCTACTAAAGTTATGCTCTTTTGAGGATTCTCCCTGATGCCTCATTTATGGTGAGGTTTCTGCACCTCTGGCTGGTGGAATCCCAAAGTATTCCCAGCCCATTATGAGCTCCAGAAATTGTTTTCCCTACTTTTTGGTGATTTTATTCCTTATCCCTGTGATCTTTAATTCAGGCATGTGTAGATCATTATTCAACTGAGTATTTCTGGGCACTACTCTGTAGATCTTTGCAACTCTCTAGCTGTGCAGAACCCTCCTGTTATTCTGCTCTGCAAATTCTAGCTGCCCCAACTTCTGCAACTGTGATCTCTGCCTCCTAAACTTGACAAGACCACTGGGCTCCATTTGGGTTTCCTCTCCATGTGCTACAGTCTGGAAACTGCCTTCAAACTGGTAAAGTGGGGCAGCTGTAAGGCCCATGTCATCATTTCTTTTCTCTCCGGGATTATAATCCTATGCTACATCCTGTATCTGAAAACAGGTATTTAATATATGTTATCCTGTATGTTTTTTATGGAGGGAGGGCAGTTCCCGTAGCAGTCAATCTTTTATGGGCTGAAGTGGAAGTCATAGTAAGAGTAGTTGCAGGAAGGATAGGAGGTAGTAGTTAGAGGTTGCTGAATATGTGATTTCATAGATGGCACATTTTTGATAATGACCAGGCACTTTGGAAATGAAAGGAAAATGACCAGTGGAATATTAGTAGACTGTGATGGCAGAGTTTTAGGTGGTATGAGTCCACAGAGGTATTACCTGAAAAATCAGCTACCAAACTCTTCAGTGAATGAGTGATTAGGAGGTCTGTAGGTGATGACAATATTTAGGTGTAAAGGAGAAACAGCTAAATGAGATCCCTAAAGAAGCAACATGTGATGGAAATACCTGCAAAAATGCATTTTAAATATTAAGAGAAAAACACTCAAGAAAAGTTAGTTTAACTCACAAAAAATATGCGAACACTAGTTCATCTTTTGTTTTTCAGTTTTAAAAAAAGATAAATTGTAGTAAAAGCAGAATCAGTTCATTTTATAAAAGTGGTTGGATGTTTTATCTCCCTCAGCAATTTATTTTAATTAATGCATAAAAAGCATCTAGGGAAATGAGGGCTAGAGGGACTACTCCCTGAAATTAATAAATGAAATATAGTTCCTTGAGTCCTTGGCAAGGTGCAGTAGTGAAAATAAAACTGAAACAACCTCATTTTGACCTTCAGTTAAGTTAGGAACCTTCATTTCAAAGAGCAGATTTAGCTACCACAGCTCAAAGGATCATTTCTCCCCCAGAGGATTGCTCTGATTATCACATTTAAAGGAGTGTTTCTAAAACACTTCAAAACCAATTGATTCTAAAAACAAAACCTATTTTTCTCTTTGTCTTCCTCTGGTAGGTTAGTAGTGGTTTTAATTTTGAATAGTCTGGACCTGTGAATTAACCTGTGAATTAACTGTTTCTGCTATAGGCTCTTCGATACTTGGCAGAATGCCGTGTGAACAGAGAAAAGATGAAAGGAGAACTGGGGATGATGTTGAGCTTGCAAAATGTTATACAGAAGTAAGTACAACAGAGGGTGTCTCCTAATGCAGTAGAAAAAGGATCTTGTTAAGTGTATACTGATGGTTAATATATGAGGGTACCTCAAAAAATTCGTGGGAAGATTCATATTATCTCCTAATTCTGTTTTTCCATGAACTTTTTGAAGTACCCTTGTATAATTTTACTGAAAAAAATTTTCTTATTTAAGTGGCTGGCCTGTACAGGTATCTGAACCCTTGACGCTGGTGTTCTAACACCATACAAAAACCAACTGAGCTAGCCAGCAAGCCCCCGCGTGAAATTTTTTTTTTTTTTTTTTTGGTCTTTTTCCATGTCCGGCAAC